CTCCAGATCATGAATTTCAAAATCTTTTTATTTTTATGTTTTTTACATTTAAGAATTCATGTCGTATGAACAGTTTTGGTTTGGTAGGGAGATCAATTTACAATTAATTTACGTTGGTGATGTAGAATCCAGTTTCCTAACTTTCATAAAATGAAAAAAAAAAAACAAGAACAAATTATTATTTTTTTAATATTAGGGGTCTGGAGTGCTTAATCAATACAAGATTGAAACAAATGATTATTTTTTAGTTGCTTATTTTGAAATGTACAATTTTTCTACTACAGTGTAACCCGGATATAAGAGATTTTCTCTGGTCCCAAATTAGAGCCTGTGTTAATGTATATAAATTAGACCAAACCCGGATATAAGAGACTTTTTCTCCAGTCCTGACAACTCTCTTATATCCAGGTTACACTGTAGTTTCGGTTTTGTAATTCCAGTATCCTCTTTTTACCTTGCTGTACAGCAGTGAAATAAACAATCAGAAATCCAGCCAGAAGAAACTAGATTTGTTCAACAGAAAATGCCTAAAAATGGTAGTAGAAATCAAGTGAAAGTATTTTGTAAAGGAAACAAACTAATCTATGTACTTTCTTAAAGAAAGTCTGCAATTGATGAATAAAATGGCTTGACCCTTTAGAAAGTCTTCAACCTATTAAGTTTGCACTCCAAATACAATAGATAGGTTCTAATTAAAAATGAAATCAAAGACTGATGGAAAAATAACTGGTAACAAACCATCCAAAAACACCTCAGACAACTGGTCAAGTGCTGGAATGATATCAAGTTGTTGACTGATCAGAGTAAAGATTTTTGACTACCTCAAACAGCGATGAAATATTGATTGATTGATTGAAGTAAGGTGTAATTGGAGTCTTCTCTCAAGAGAATTTTTGACAGGAAAATAAACATTTTGTATATAAAAACAATTTTCTTTTAAATAATGAGGTAGTTGGTCCATATTTTAATTCTTGGCCAAACATAAGAAATTTCTGACTGATATAGCAGAAAGGGAGACTTCAAAATTAATAATATTAGAGCATTTGAAAGAAAATAACTGACTGGGGAGAATTCTTTAGAAATTATTTTTAGAAGATCAATTTTAAGGAATTTTAATACTAGAAATGATATATAGGTAGGAGATGCAAATAGTTTTTTTATTATTATTTCTATCTTTTATTATAGAAATAGAATTGGTTTCTTGTTTTAAAAATTACCGTTAACAAATTTTGTGCTTTCACTAATTATTTCTATTAAAAATAGAAAAGCAGCATATTTAGAATTTTTTTTTTTTTTTAAATTGTGGTTATTGGATTAGTAAAGAAAAGAATGTTTTCTTTTATTCTTTTTAAATCAAGCTTTCAAAGAGACTTTTAAAAAATCTACAAAATGTATTGTAAATATGTGAAAAACCAAAAATAAATGTTAGTTGAGATAAATCAATAACAAAAAATAACATTTACTGGGTTTCTTAAAGGAAATTATGACAAGAGTTATCAAAGATAACATTTTTGATCATATATACATATATATGATTTTACTCAGCTCAGTCTATCACAGGATCAGAATGGTGAAACAGTGAAAATTAAATTCACTAGATTAGCAATGATCTTCAAACCCAGTTTACCAACCAAGGCTCTACTAAAGGCAACCATTTATAAATCAAGTAAAAATGTTTTTTTTTATTACTCAATTATAGAACTGGTTCTCTAACAATTTAGAACAAAGTATAACTTACTAAATCTTATGTTAGAATTTTAAAAGAAATTGTCATTTCATTTGGATGAGTATGCATAAGATTCCAAGGAGGTTAGCAAGTACAATAAACACCTGAAGATGGCTGGAAGAAACAACAGCCAAAACATGAATAGAACAACCAAGATCTGAATGGAAAGGAATATCATACTAATTTTTATTACTCTTGGATGTTGTTTGAGAATAGATAAGAAATAAATATTTATAAGTGTTTCAAATATTTACTTTCCTCTGATTATGCAGAGAGCAAATAAAGTAAGGGATCAGTTTTATTAATATTATTATTAAACGGTTAGGCACAGTACTTCATGTTCTATAAAAAAAAAAAAATCTAGTTTTGATTTTATTTTTGTTTCTTTTTTTTAAATTGTCATCTCTCTTGTTTGTATTTCAATCTTCATTATTTTTGGACCAATCACAAAAGGTCAATTATCCTGTATAAAAATGAAAGTACAAAAACAACAAAGATGATCCTCCACCTAAAAGCAAAACATTTATCCAAATAGATTTTTTTAACTGAAATTTATATCGTAAAATTGAGGATCAAGTTCAAGCTTGATTCATAGCAAAACTAATTGTACAACCAACTGATAAATAATATGGAAAATATTTTCAAAATAAAATTGGTTCCAAATCTTGTTTTGAAAATATTTTGCCCATTCTACAGCCTTCATTAGAGTGTGACTGGAGTCATTTAAAAAAAAAAAAAAAAAAATACTGCTCGATTCAGTTTGTTCTCAACAAGATGCATAACACAGGTGATTTCCTAGTTTTTATAAACATGGATGTTCTCCAACTTTTTGTTTTACCAAAGTAATTCATGCTGGCCTGATATATTTGTCCATTCCTTGAATTCTTTAGCTTTCTCCAGTGGCATTTCCTCTCTATTATTTGGATCTCATCCTAGACAAGGGAAAGTGAATCCTTTTCCTTACAAATCTAGAAGGAGACTTTTCTACTTGTCCTTTTTAAGATGCCTTATGCTTCTCAGTTTAAATCTCAGGTGATGACTGGTTTCTCTCATATTATTTTTCTACATTCTCATAGGATGTTATGGTCTACCATACATTGCATTTAGATACGGAAGGGAAACGAATCACATTACCTTCTTTCAGGTGAGGCTCAAATTATATATATGGAAAATAATTTCAAAATAAAATTGGTTCCAAATATATATAAGTGAACACTGAAGTCAACAATCAGATGCAACAGACTGTTCCATGCTAGGCATGATCGTCAGGCCACTTCAATTTTCACTTTTATATTTACATACACTATCACTGATATTGAGCACTTTATCCCATAAATATAGCACACCTTAAAACTATGTTTCTTTATATATATATACACACACACTAGTCTCCCTCCAATACAAGGCCTAAGAACCCCTCAAGGTAGAAAGTTACTGAAATAAAAGAAATAAGTGCATATTATGAGGATATTTTGGATAGATAACAGTTGAACCCTAGACTTAAACAGGTTAAGATTGCAGTAATCAATCAGAGAAGCACCCTCTTAAAGTGACTGTTACACAAAGTAACAGTTCTTGGGAAGAAACTGTTTGAGTAGAACTTCCTCTTTACCAATGGAATACAAAGAGAATGATATACATATACATGGCATGGTTGGTCTGAGCTGGTGAAACTAAGGAATGTATCTAATCTGAGCATTTGCCATGGAAATAGTGGTAGAGTAATGAGAGTCTATCAAAATTTCTTCTGTGGGTGGGCATTGACCTGTTGGTGAAGTGGTTTTAAGGTGAAAAATAATCCATCATCCACAAGGCTATATAAATGCTTCTGAACTCTATCAAGACTAGTGTGGATTGGACAGCACAAATGGAGACAGCAATACTCCATTTTTGGTCTGATTTGACACTTGTAAATATAGAGCATGGCACAAGAAGTCAGATACTTTCTGGAGCAGTACAATTAACCAACCATTTTTCTAGCCTCTTTAGTCATGGATTCTACATGGGTTCTGCTTGAGTTTGAGTCCCAATAGACGTTCAAGTCAAGCAGCCTCACTGACAGTACAACCATTCATCATGAATAGAGAAAACTCAGGGTTTGCTCGTTGATAATAAGATGTTACAAAGTTGGTTATTGGAAGTATTGAATGTTACAAGCCACTTGAATTCCCCATTGAACTGTTAGAGCTAAGCCAGAGAAGTGATCAGTTGCTAGTCTTTGTTCATCTACATTTTGGGAGGTGCACTGTATCATCTGCATAGATATTTACTAATGATCTATGTTAGGCTGATCATTAATATAAAGCAGAAAGAGGGTAAGACTAAGGAGAGACCATTCTGAGATGAGACATCTGCATTATTCTCATGGGCTTCAGAAGACTGACCAAGTTGGTTAAATTTAATATATTTTTTAAATCAATTCAAGCAAGGTGATAATACCTATGAGACGCAAGGGGCTACTAAAAGTGAAAGAGAAGGAAAAGACTTTAGAAAGAAACAGAAACCCAATAATAGTATACATTTCAGAGTTTAGTTAGAGATACTAGAATTAACATTGAAGTAAAATTTAGAAGGAACCAGAAACCCAATGCTAAACAGGAAAGAAGGGATATAAATCTCTACTTCTGTTCAAAAGACTAAGTAGGAGTGTGAACCGATCTACTCCTATTAAATGAGTATTTGCTACCTTAATATACCTTTATATATATATGTGTGTGTGTATATATAAAAACCAGTATCACATGGGTTACTATAAAAGGAATTTCTTTTGTGGCTTGTTTTGCTAGAGATGGGCAGATTTGAGGAATATGTTTACCATCATTTTCTGGAAAAAAAAATAATCTTTTTTGTTACAGATTTTTAAATCTGATCAAGTTGTCAAAATTGTATAGTAAAAAACAAAAAAAAAAACATGAATTCAAATTTAAACAACTTTTGGAATGATAATGACTTTTTAAAATTACAGATGAGTTATTAGATTATTTTTCTGGAGAATATAAAATAGTTAAATCTGGGCAAAAATGCACTTGTAAATGAAAACGTTGGTGAAGAAGATTTTGTTCTAGTATACTGTTCTGTCATTGAGAAATGAAATTTGTAAAAATAATAATAAAATTTTCTTGCTGAGTCCAATGCTACTTCCAATTGGCTTCTTGTTTATCCCATCAAAGTTCCACAGGTAATGTTGGTAATTTGTTCATTTGATTTGCTGTTCTCCATGTACCCAACTGTTGAGTGGGGTGACATGGAAAAGAATTTTTGTTCAATAAAAAGATCAACTTTGTGTAATGTCTGAATTTCCTTTTTTTTGAAAACATCTGCATTTGTAAGAAGGCTTTGTGTAACCAGGAAGAAATGGAATGTACTTTACAACTTTGGACTCTTTCACTTCAGAACTAATGAATGGAAGATCGTAAGAACTGTACATTTCGGTTCCCGTTTTAGAATTGTTCTCTGAAATGGATGGTTTGCCAAAGTTTTGCCAGGCAATAAAACCTCTTTCTTTTAATGTACCTTTAAAAAAAAAAAAAAGAGAAAAGTAGAATAAATCAACATTTTATTATAAAAAGTGGCACATTCTCATAAAAGTGAAATCAAAAGATGTACTAAAATCTTTTCCAAAAAAGATTTTCATAAAATTATCAAGAAAGAGAAAAAAAATGAAGTTCCAACTTTAACCTAATTACATTAAATATCTGTTTAATCTGGGCATATAGTTTTGGATAATTTTTTTGTCACATATATTAAATTGATTTTGTCATGTATGTCAGAAAAAAAACTGCCTCATTATGTCCTGATGTAATTTGCAAAAACTATTGTCATAACTGAAAACAACATATGTATTGCTCAGTAAATAGAAAGTTTCCTTATTGCCAAATGATCAAAGGATTTACAGATTAACATACTGACAGAATTTTTTTTTCTGTGGTTTCATGTCACAGTTGTTTGTAGTGACACCGAAAACCACACAAATTCTTTTTGTATTGCAAGTGTTCATAATTTTCAAAGCTGACATGATCAAATTTCATATATTAATAGTTAACAAAATTAGTCAAATAGTTTTTGTGGAATTTTTTGAGTCAGTACTTTCTAAAAAGAAAAATTCAAGATGTCCTGTACATTACATTGAAAACAGCCCTGATGAGGAATTGTTTTAGTTTTACAGAAAATTATATAATAAAAACAGAAAAAAGCTTTTTTTGGCTCATTTAAAAAAAAAAAAAAAATTTACTCCAAAATATTGTTTATATTATGGGAAATAGAGAAGGCGATGTGATTTATCCTCTCCAACGATTATTTGGTAAAAAGGAAAGAAAGCTTCTTAAAATTATGAAGTTGTTTTTTTTTTTCCCTCTCAATATTTTTGTTAAGCTTTCACAAGTTATTTTCAAAATATAACTTATGAAAACTGTATACAAACTGATGAGTTGCATTTTCTAATATTTCCTTTTTTTATATAATTTTTATGTCACTTCAGGACATGGGTGATCATGGCTCCCTCCAGATTATTTTTTTTAATTATCTGTGAATTGCCATGACTTCTTGGTAAAGATAATAAAGTAATCTCCTCTTGCTTTCCCCAAGACTGGCTGCCAACCGAAGCTAGAGAACTCAGTCTAGCCTTCTATTTTAGCCATAGGGTTCTTTCTGCAAATTGTGTATGTATATAAGTGATGGATTTTTATTTATTAATCTGACAAGTTTTATCATTTAAATGTTATTAAATAAATATATTGGTTTTTTTGTTTTATTTAACATACATGTGTTTAATAAATAAACGTTTAATAAATAAACAGTGTCTACTTTCATATGGGTATCCATTAAAAATAATTTTAAATAATATATAAAGATATATGGCACATAGTTGCAACAAATTTATATTTATTCTTAGTATAAATTTTAGCTGTTACTTTATATTAAGCACTGTTTTATTATTACCACCTGCACTCACTATGTGCTATATATATATATATATATATATATATATATAACAAAACATGATGTTCTGAATCTGAATTTTCAATGAGATATTTAATAAGTCAAAAATAATAAATACAATTCAAATTCTGATATATATAATAGCATGTAGTAAATATGGTGAAACAGAACAATCTTAAAAATGACCATAAAAGTGCTATAGAAAAACAAGGAATTAATGATACATTATTTATTCTTTCATATACAGAAGAAAATATCATCCTTTTGATTTTAAAAATACTACAATGGCTAAGTTTATTCTTCATAAATCATCTAGAAGAATTATTGAATCAGCTATGATACCAAAATTCAATTTGGTTAATTAAAAAGTATTTTATAGCATCATCTTTTCTAGCTCAGAAAATACTTAAAAAATATATTTTAAAATAGACACTGGTTAGACATCTTAATCATTTTAATTGAATTATATATTTTATTTAACACAGAATTAAAAATATAATTTATGATAAATATTATTTCAAAGTATTTACTATTTTCTTTTTGATATATGTGATTAGCATGAATTTCTTTTGTTTATTTTATTTTCCAATATCAAATAATCATATTTATATATTAAATTTCATTGATTTGTTCATGGCTATTTATTTTCAAATTTTAAAAATTTGTAAAAAAATAATTATTATACAAAATTTAACAATCATATCAATTAAGAGGTGTTGAATTTTGATCAAATATCAAATCTTATTTTATTTTTTGAAGAGCTTTTGAATTGGGCTGATAACTTTCCAGCACCCATCTGTATAATATATTAGTTTAAAAGTTAAAATTAACTGAAGCCATCAATTCTATCACAAGTTAATATGAAAGTAAATATGAGTTAAATTTCATGAAAATTAGGTATCACCTAAAATTTGCTAAAAAAATAATATTTTTTTTTTTTTTTTTTGGTATCAATGAAGAACCTTAAATTTGTACGGGAAATTTGACCATTTTTTTTTTTTTTTTTTTCAGTGAAAAACACATTGATTTGGAAATTCTTGCAAAAATCAAATAATTGTCTGATTTTAATGATACTATCAGGACTTATCTGCAAAGGAATGAAATTATTTTTGAAAAATGTTTTAATGAGTGGTGTTGAGTACATCTTTTTCTTTATCACTTAATGTTTATATTTTGTTAAAAGGACAGGTCTCTGGAGAAATTAAATCATCATTTTTTTTTAGTCAAACAGGAACACCCCAATTACAGAAAATCGACCCTGTATTGTAAAATAAAAAAAGCTATAAAATGAAGACTTTTTTTAATTAGAAAAACTTGTAATTGCTTTTATGAATATATATGGGCACTATTGTCATAAGAAAAAAAAGTGATATTATTAAATTAAAACTGTATTTACTAATCATAAATGAAAAAGTTCACTACAATTCAAACAACAATTTTGAATTTTTTTGTGTATAAACATGTCGATTTTGGTAAATACAGACATCCATATGACATTTTCAGAAAATGAAAGGTACCTATAATAAATTAAAAATTTATTGGTAATTTTCTAATATTTTCTTAACCAATGTCTTCATGAGTAAGGCTATAAAGCCAAAGTACCTAAAATTCAATAAAATATTAGATTGCTTAAAATATTTTAAATTTTGAAGATTACTGGGTAGTTAAAATTGTATAAAAAAAAGTGTTCACATTTTATCAAGTGATTTCTTTCAGTTTTATCTCCCTTAGTGAAATTTCCCAAACATATGACTGTCAATAAATCACTCAACATGTCAGTAAAATACCCTCCATGTTTAAATATGCTTTTCTGATATTTCAAACTAAAAGTAAAGGCATCAGATTAAACTTTAAATAAAGCTAATTTCACTCAAATATAATTTTTGAAATTTGTTTTTAATAAAAATAATTATATTAACAACCGGACAAATTTATAGATTTTACTGACAAAGAGAAAAAAAAAGATGACAATCAATTCTGTTATTGGGAATATTAAATTTAAGCTATTAGCTTGGAAATAAAATAAAATTACATCTTCAAGTGAGATTTCTCATTTTTTAAAATGAATTTTAAACTACGATACTGCTTTTTTCTTTTTTTGGAGGTACGTAAATTGAAAATAACTTTAAAACACATTAGAATTATAATGCAAGGGATATAACTCTGCTCCTCCTTTAAGAATAAAATATAGAAATTGAAATAATGAGTTATTTCTAAAACTAACTCACCCGGTACAGTGTTATCCAGAAAACAAGCCAGAGCTCCACCTACAAAATTAGCATTTGCTAAAAGGGCGTGAAGAGCACTATCCAATTCAACGTAACCTGAATGAAAAGAAATGAAATATTCATTAAGAATTTGACAATTTCACAGGACAAGGTCTGAATAGATTTTAAAATGGATGGGATAAGTTTAAAAAAAATGTTTTTTAAAAATTTATTTCGTCTAAAAGACATTTGTTAAACTTAGAAAGTTATCTACATCAAAAATTTTTTAATTATTATTGTTGAAGATCCTTTATTAGATATTTTTTTATAAGCTAACCTCACAGTTGTTTGTTTTTAAAAATCAAAAGAAATCTAAACGTTTTTGTTTTTTTTAACCTCTTCATGGCCATGTCCCATTTTAAGACAGTGGGAATTAATGAAGCTGACAATTAATACTGAAGTTTTATTTTTATTTTATAATTAGTACCAGATTTTTGGCTAATATCAATAAGTTAATAAAATGTTTTTATTTGAAATGATGAAAACTGATAATATAGTTAATTGGGAAAATTATTGAAAATAACATTGAAATAGCTAAAAGATTGTGAGTTGGGGGGGGCTCGGTAGAGCTCATTTTCTAAAAAAAAAAAAAAGGAGATATGCAAGTGATCTCCCCTTATGTGTAGTTTCGCTTTGCGTATTTTGTTCTTAAAGGTTAATTGAAAAAGAGACAAAAATTACAAGTTTTACTTAATAATGATCCCAAAATTCAAGAGTTATGAAAAGGCTAGAAAAGTCATAATGTGCTTCCTTTTAAGTAAAAATGAAAGTTCTTAATGAAGAAAGAACAAAATTGTATGTTAAAGTTAAGATCTACATTCTACAGTAGCTGATCTCTCCTTTGATTTGGTTCTAAGAGGAAAAAAACTGGCTTGTAACATTCAATACCTCCAAAAGCAAGTTAACATTTCATCCTTTTCATTCCCTTTGTGTACCATTGGCAAGGAGACAGCTTCTTCCTAAGAATTGTTATTTTGAGTAAACATCCTCTCAGGAGAATCTTCTATTTGTCACACAACTTTTATGGTATATTATAATTATTCTATTTGTAGATATTGTTGTTAATCTTTTATTGTGCCTAATATATGGTATTGGGTGTTGACCTTTTGCTTTGTTTAATCTATAAATTAAACTTCATCATAGGTATGAATGTGTAGTGAAAACTTTGTGTGTAAGAATTAAACAGAGCAGTGACTGTCTGAAAATCCAGATGTCAAATTACTACATTTGTCTGACACTCAAGATTGAAAGAGAAAGAAAAGAGTATAAAACCAATAAGGAAAAAGTATAAAAGATAAGAAAAATGAGGAAAAGGAAAAATAACCATGACATTCTATACATATGGGCAGGCACATGCGGAAAGAAGAAAAAAAACATTAACCTTGCATTAATGAAAAGTGCATAAATTATTTTTTTTAATATAAAAAAAAAAAAAATTAGAAAATAAACAGACAATTGCTGATATCCCCTGACAAGTGGATGGATTGATTCCTGGAGGATCCTCCTATGAAATTCTAGTTCTGGGATGCTGAAAGTAACATCTAAATGACAAATTTTTATATTTGTATTAGTCCTCTCGCTCTCTCATTCATTCATATATATATATATATATATATATACGCGCGCACACACACGGCTGAGTAGTTACAATGTCTGCTTTCTGAATTTATCAGGAAGGGGACTTTTTGATATTATTGGTCTGAGAGGTATTCAAACATATATTGTTAAATATAACAGACAGTGAATGTCTTATGCTTGATCATGAGCCATTCTAAGCTTTGTATAGTGGCTTTGTAATGACAAAAACTGTCCAAAATTTGGATGTTTTTTTTTTATTATGCTGGTCCTCAATCTAAGCTTTCAGCTCATATGAGCCATCATCAGAATTTTTAGTTTTTGTCTATTGTTTTCATGTTTAAGTATTCTTGAAGCTATAAAACAGTTGAAACCTAACCTGAACAAAATAAATTATGAAAACTCCACAAATATACTTAAATGCCTATAATTGATAACAGAAGCCATTAGTTTATACCAACATCTTCCCATAATTAGCACTTCTTGTTTTCACTTTCGCAAGGTCATATGTAATATCATGGGCTGCAGTGCAATTTTCGTTTCCAGTGGCTTGTATGCACAAGCTTGTCATTACTTGGAAATCTTCCATGCAAACAAAACAGACTATCATTGTTGCTATGTCTGTGTATTGTAATGTACTTGTCATCTCTGATGATGGCTTATGAAAGCCAAAAGTTTAGCTAGGAATAAAAAACATGTATCAATATGGTGATTTTCTTTCGTCTTTCAATGATAATGTTATTAAGCTTATCAGACGATATGAAAGGAATTTTCTTAAAATAAATAGACAAAACTTGTCTATATTATTTAATGAAACATGCATTAATATATATGTGTGGGTGTTCACCCAATACAAGGCCCAAGAGCAACCCAAGTTAGAGGGTTACTGTGTGGTGTTGTATGAGTATGAGAAAAGACAAGTGAAGTTCATTTGTGAGTAAAATTGACAACACTATTTGAAAAGTGCCGATGGTTGTGTTAGCATGAAATCATAAGTCATTGTGACCGAGTGTTTGACCATATTGGCATTGTTCAAACTAGTGATCATACCAGATTATACCCATTCTCTCAAAAACTGTAACTATGGCCTGCTTAGCATAGTTGCAGTATAAGCCACAAGTGGTCTCTGTGGATGTTGAATAAGCACAAATGTACCAGAGCAGGCGTCTGCAATAGGGATTGGTTAACCACCCTAGCAGAGTAACCAGACATTATATATAGTTTGATACTATTTGTGGTTCAGTTGCATGTCTTGGTACATATTATTTCTCATGGAATGTTCTACTTACCAGTGTTGAAAGGCTGCTTGGTTTTCTTGATATAGTGAGGCATCATGAGTCCAAACATGAGTGAAATACCAATAATAGCCAGATTGCGAGTGGAATTCATGTCAATATACATCATATTGGAAAGAACGACTCCGATGAAAATTCCAAAGCTGATGATTTGAACTCCACCCAATACAGGATGAGGAATAATAACAAATATGGCCCCCAATTTGCCTAAAACACCAAATATTACAAATATCAATCCCACCATTTGAAAAACACGACGACTGCCAACCTACAAAAAATAAAAATAAATTTTTATTTATTAGGAATTAATTGTAGAATAAAAGATATTAAAATCTCTTCATTTGAACTTGGTGTTGATTCAAATGATGATTGAAGGACATTTTAATTAAAACTCAATTTACTTGTATTATTTTGAACTATTATTCTTATCTTGGTTGATATAAATGTTATTATAGACACAGTTTTAACCGAGTACTCTCTGGTCATCATCAGGTGTCTATATCCATCAAGATGGGAACAATAGTTTGAAATAATACAAGAATATTGACAATTACTCATTTCAGAAATGAAACAAATTATAAAACTTAATTCTTGAGTGAAATAAACAAAAAACATCACTGTCTGTTATCAGAATGTATATTGAATATGTGGTTAGGGGTCTTTAAGTTGGAAGGTGATGAGTAAGAATTTACATGCAATTTTCATGGAGTGGAGTGCGGGTGGAAGAGTGCAATTGATGTTCTAGGGGTGCAGTCATCATCCACTATCCACCAGCAAAAGGCCTTGTGCTACAAATTAAATTTTCTTAACATTTTATAAGATTTATTCAAAGTTAATTTCTTTCTATTGCCATTTATGGGACTGTTTTGGTCAGTATATCGATAGAACTTCCAGGTTTCTTATTTGCATTTGATATTTAAATACAATAATAATAATTAGGAACTGTTGTTTTTTTTTCTCTTTCTCTCTGATTAGAAGCATCAGGAACACTCATGAAATCAGTGCCACTAATTGTGGATTAGTCAACCGCTGATATAATCGAGTTTTTACAAGTTAGATTTTAAAATGTAAGACACGTTTTAATAAATACCGACAGAAAAAGACAAATATTTCAATCTTGAATATATTTTTAAAGAATTTACATTTTAAAAACAAACTTTAAAACGAATGCTGGCTTAATCATATTTTTGATATTAGCAGTTGTCTCCCTTACAAAGTAAATAACTCTTAAAAAACGGATTAGCAAACAACTTTTCTAAATGAATGTGCCCATAAAATATAAAATTGTGTGAGCATGATGACTCCCGTTTTTATTTGTGTGTGTGTGTGTGTGTGTGTGTGTAAAAAAAAAAAAAAAAAAAAAAAACAAATATATTAGCTGACCTTGGTGATGCCAATGGCTCCAATATTTCCACCATATGTACTTGTAGCATGCCCAGCTCCCATAGAACCAGCCAAAAGACTTGAGAAGCCTTCTACCATGATGCCCCGGTTCATTGCATGGTCAGGGGGTGGAGGTAGATTGCAAACACGGGCACAAGCATAATAATCTCCAATTGAGTCAATGATAGATGTCAATGTGGCTACCATGAAGCTAATGAAGGCTGACAGTGCAAAACTTGGAGGACCAAACTGACCTGAGGATTAAAAAAATATGATGGCTTGTAAAAAAGATAAACGGCTTTATTTTGAAAAATCAAATCAAAATTAAAAAACTGATTAATAAATCTAAAAAATTTAAATATGGGTTTAATTTTTAATTGAAAATGGGTTTAATTTTTTATATTTATGGGTTATTTAATGCCGACAACAGTTTTAGGATAGGTTCATATGAATAGAATATGTATTTGTAGATCAGGTTTCATTGACATTTTTGTAAAGAGAATTTGTAAAGAGAATTTAAATTGCTGGTAATATTTTTTTTCCGAAAAACTTATTACTGGTAATTTCCCGCCCAATGTATTGCTGGTATTTTTACACTTTCATAGTGTTTTGACCCCAGTTTGGGGGTTAACTATTTGCCCATAGCTGGGACACTAACTGGTATTACCATTGCGTGAACAAAGGCAATTAAGATGTGGTTCCATGCTCCTGAAAACCCCCTGATAAGAGGCCTTGCTGCTGGAAGTAGTTTGTCATACTCAGGACAAGGGAATATTTGGGAATGAGCTAAGTTTAGTAATAATGAAAAGAAATGGTGTAACAGTATTAATGGGATTTCTGAAAAAGTCATGAAGTTTGCTTTACTCATTTCAGTTTACAACTGCAGTTGCAGAAAAATCAGCAGTTTTTAAATCAATCCATTTGACTTGCTATGCAAAGAGTGAAATAGATTTGTATGTTCTTTAAAGCAGTATATTCAACTCTGTTATGCCACTTGCATGGACCTTGATTTTATTTATCTAGCCTCTCCACTAGGAGAGAATGTGACACACAAACTTTTTTTGTGGGGAACCCATATGCACACATATGTGTCAAAGACAAGAATTTCTAGGGTAGATTTACCTTTTGAGAGTTCTGAGGTGATAGTTTTCTTTTCAGCATCACTTAAACTGCTTTTATGGCCCATCTTTTCACTAAATTCTTACACTTTTCTAATAATTTTGCACGCTCAAATCACCGTGCTGATAACAAATATGGCGCCAGTTTGTTTACATTGTGCAAATCAGTACGAAAATTTCAGTGATTGCGCAGGTCAGTGTTGCCAACATTGTGTGAAAATTTTGTGTGAATTGATTGGACGGTTTTTGAAATATTAGAAAAAAAGTTATCTTGATAATAATTTGGCACGCAGTATATATATATATATATATATATATCCTTTTACATGGCTCTGTCTGATATCATTCCAATCAAAATATTGCATTTCTTATTCCAGTGTCTTTAATGAAACTACACTGTTCTTCCAGTCTAATTTTGCTATGCACTCTATTCATCAAAATCCAGATGACAACCTTAGTTATAGGACTCATTAAGCTAATTATTCAATGGAGCTTGTATTCATTTGCACCTGGTTTTTTAGGCACCGCTATAAGAGGTAGATCTACTAAGCTCTTCCGCTATCTCATTAATATTGTGTATTTCATTTATTATTTTCATAATCTTGTCAATCTCAAAATCATCAAGACAGCTACCATCTCTATTATAATAACCCTATCAACCTGCAGCTTTGTTCCTGTTCATCTTGTTTGGTGACAATCTTACTTGAAACTTTAATATTTTTGGTCTTTTTATATTTCTTTGTATTGTAGGATTTCCTTTTTCATTGTGAAAGACTTCTCCAATATATTCGCTCCATCTTTGAAGTATTTTTTCTTTTTCTATTACGAATATTTTTTCTTTTGATTTTATGCATCCTGTCAATGAGCACATTTTTTCTCCTATTGTTTCTTTTATTCATACCTGTCATACTAAGTCACTGAATTACCTTAAATATTCAGGTTCTGTTCCTTATGAAACCTCTTATTCTTAATTATCTAAGTCCTTTTTCCATATTTAATTCCATTTATAAACACAATCTAGCTGTTTCTTTCTGATTCTATACTATAAAACAGAGCCTTTCTAAATTGAACAGGTTTAGGCTGATTGCTACATGAGTGGATCACAACCCACTTTGTCAATAGCAAAAAAAACTTTATTATTTGAATTTAATTATTTTTATGACTGAAATAATGATTGAGTGCAGTTCTCAAAAATAAAAGGATTCTAAGCAGTAAATTTAATAGGCACTCTTCTCATTTCAGGAGAGAGTCCTTTTTTTTTTAATGGGCAGCCATCTCTTTTGTTTTGTCTTTGTTTTAATGAGTGCTTTTGATCAGATGTAAACAGAAGTAGTGTTAAAAACCATGACAAGTTTATAAGCCAAAAGAAGTATCTGCCTTGTATCTACAACTGAAAAAGTGTAGCTGATGAAAATAATATTGAAATAGATAACATCTTCATTCCAGCTGAGTTGATTTTGTTCTGTAATGCTGAACAATTAGTAGCATTGGTGAAATCTCTTACCTGGATATGGGAAAAAAATCCATGAAGATGAATGGATAACATAAGATCGAGTGTCAGTTCGTGCATAGTATTGAACGTTTTGTGGATTATCGGAGAGGACATCGCAGTAAGTAAGAATGGCACTGAGAATCCAACCAAAAATTATGGCAAACAAAATCTGCAAGAAGAAATTTATACAACTTCAATTCATGATTTCATAAAAGTCAGAATAATAAAAACTAACTTAAGGCAGGTTTTTTTATGGTATCAGTCAAAAGCGTTAGTTTTTAAAAGGTCTTTTCTAGTCTGTATGTTTAATATACATTAGTAAGATGTAAAAACAGTAATTTGTCAAAAGATTTAATGGAAAACCAAGGGAAAATGTTTAATATTCTGAGAGGAATTTTAGAGTACAAAGAAAAACAAAAAAAAAAAAAAAAAAGAGGGAAAAAATGATTTCTTTGGACTGCAGGGAATTGTAAGGACATTATTGTGTTTGTTACTTTTTTTTTTTTTTGTACAAACATATCATTTAAAATACTATAGGTACATCATTGATTTCTTTATTGTTCTTTCTGGATTTCTATCAAATTATTGTTCTTTTTGGTTACAATAAGATAAAGACATTCTTTTATTTGAAAAAATTGAATTAAAAAGACAATGTTAAAAAATGAATTTGTAATTTTCCAAAATTAAAATATACAAAAATAGGTTTCATTTAAACAAATAAAAGTGCTTGTAATTCCTGCAAAAACCAGAATCTCTCTTAATCCGATTGAAAGAAGTGATTATTTTCTTCACCTCCAAATTTTGAAGTTTACTCACCGCCAACACTTTATGTAGAGGATAGCGTGTAATATGACAACCTTTCTGTCGGCTCCACGAGGGCAGAATACAAGTTAATTTGTCACAGTAGAGAGACAGAATACCAGCAAAACTGGCAGTGCTGAAAAGAGGGAAAAAAAAAACAAAAAAAACTAAGATTCAGTATTCAATAATTACAAAGAGTTGATAATTTCTATCAATAAACAGAAATGTTACATTTAAGTTTATAATTTTGTCCAACTCTATAAATAACCATAATAAAATAATTATAATAAATTTATAATAACCATTGTTGTTTGAATCCAACCAAAATGATCCTTCACTTTGGATTCAATAAATGGTAAGATTAGCAGTTTCTTTACAGGAAACATTTGGCATTCATTGACCAGAAAGCATTAATGTATGTTGAAATTTTAAGTCATTCTCTTTTTCAGGAATATAATTTTCTCAAGTCCACTGTTATTGTTCTTTCTAGTATTATTGAAGAGTTTCCTTCCTAACCATTTGTTTAAGGTCTTGTCGTAAGTTAACATCATTGAGTTACATGTGCTAACCATTTTAGTTGCTGTTGAAAGTCCTCAAGTGATGTGATTTCTATTACTAGAATATTTTGAAAAATATTTTGAGAAAAACCCTATTTCACAGTTTTTACACACTGTAAACCAAAACCAACTGTACTTTATAGCCTCTTACCTGTTTGCACCTTCTCAAAATTAGGTTTTGATTAGTCAATGTATGGCTATTTTAGAGGGTGTGACAAATGGATGGACTAACAAAGTCACAGAATTTTATATATATATATATATATATATATATATATATATATATATATATATATATATGTCTTACTTATTGTAAAACGAGATTGTGTGTGTGTGTAACGTTTATATATTGGATTGGATTTCCTACATTTTTCAACTGATTTCAACAAAACTTCACAGGACTACATAAAATTACCTTGTGGTGGTTCTAACAGTGCCAAAAATGGGAAAATATAATTGTTTTTGCACAAAATCAATTTGAAAACACGATTAAGAGACATCGTGAAAATGGAAGGGGGACAACTCACATCGGGTTGTTTGTGTGTGTGGGTTCCTTTAAATATGGGATCAGATTTCCTATATTTTTCAGCCAATAAAACAAAACTTCACTTTTTTTTTTTTTTTTTGGCAGGTAGTGTTTCTTATTCTCTTACACACTTTTTTCTTTATTTTTAATATTCACAATGCTTTAAAAAATTCCATTTACAAGACAATTTTTTATAATAAAATTCTATTCAATCGGAGACTCATAACGATTGAAAACAATGTTTTTGTTTGAGTTTGGGTTTGACCAATTTGTAAAAAAAAAAAAAAAAAAAAAAACTAATTAAGACATGCGTGTCTGTCAACCTTAAACAATAATCTAACGATCTCTACTGATTGTATGAATACAAACATCGGATAAATTCTTTATCTTTAGGGAAAGATAATGAAATCTAAACATACACAAGTCCTAACTAAAAATAATAACTGGAACGGGAAACTACTTTAAATACACATGGTGTCCAATTTTTTTACTGTATTCAATAAGTAAAAATCATTAATTGTAAAAGATTATTATTACAGAAAGGTTACTAAATGAATAAGATTTGTTAGATCATAATTAATAAACCCAAATAAAGTTAATATTTTTTTGTATTAGAAACAAGTGGAAAATATATTCAAATCAGAATTCTAATTATGAATCACCACAAGCAAAATATGCAATTTTTTTTACTGTATTCAATAAGTAAAAATCATAAATTGTAAAACTAAAAGATTACAGAAAGGCTACCTACATTTTTCAACCGATTTCAACAAAACTTCACTTTTTTTTTGGCATGTAGTGTTTCTTATTGTCTTGCACACTTTTTTCTTTATTTTTACATTCAGAATGCTTTAAAAATTTCATTTACAAGACAATTGTTTATAATAAAATTCTATTCAATCGGTAGAGACTCATAACGATTGAAAACAATGTTTTTGTTTGAGTTTGGGTTTGACCAATTCGGAAAAAAAAAAAAAAAAAAAATAAGACATGTGTGTCCGTCAACCTTAAACAATAATCTTTGTCAATTTTATTTTTCAGTCTTTATGATGGTGGATACTTGATCTATCTCTTACTGTTATATCCGAGGCAACGCCGGGCTCTACTGCTAGTATATATATATTTGGTTGGATAGATGTGAGTACCACGCATATAATATATATTTATATTTATATACACACACTTTTCACACACATATATATATATATATATATATATATATATACACACACACACACACACACACACAGAAATATAGTCTTAAGGTTTGCTATATTTATGGAATAAAGTGCTCAATATCAGAGATAGAGCGTGTGTAAATATAAAGGTGAATATACAAGTCAACACTTAGAGGCAACAGTCTGTTTCATGCTATATGCAATCGTCAGGCCACATATGCTGTTATTTTTCTCGGCTATTTATATATATACGGGTTAGTGGTGCATTGTGGGTATTCTATTATGGCGGTTATTTTACCGGAAGTTGTTTGTTTATTTATTTGGGTCAAGTTATATTGCTCGTTTTTATTTTTGTTTCTTATTTTATTTATTTATTTATTTATTAACGTAGTAAAAATTTGTTTAAATCACTTATTTAACAGTTTTGTTTTGGCTTGAGAATTTAATTAAAGCTATTTGTTCAATTTTGGGGTTGGTTGTTGTAGTTCATTCTAACTATTATTTTTTTGGCGGGAAGAGTTTTTAATTTGGGATTGGTTTGTCTATTTATTTACTTGGATGAATTTAGGTCAATTTATTTTACTTGTATATTTTCTCTTTTCGGTTTTCGGTTTTAAGCAACATAGTATTTATTTATTTTTATTTCTATTTTTTATTAGTGTATTTATTTGTTTTTATTTTATTTCTTCCGTTTTTCATTTTTTAGGTTACATAGTAAAAATTTATTTTCATGCCTGCATTTTGAGATGAGCTCGGATCTTTTATTTAATAATTTATTTTGGTCGGGGAAAGTAATGATAGCTATTTTTTCCTCCAAGCAAAGTTTGCAAGTTTTTGATTGGTTGTTGTAGGCTAATGACTTTTTCCTTATCTTCCAAGATATTTTTGGTGTGATGTGCGTTTTGTTTTTAATTTCCCAGATATACTTAGAAAGCATTGTACTGTTCGCATATTTACTATTTGTGAAAGATGTTTTGTGTGTATAATTTCTTTTTTGCTTCAGGGTCCTTCAGTTACTCCTATGTATACTTTTTCTTCATTATCTGGTGATTTTATCGTGGCTTGGTATATTACGTTGTTTTGTAAACAATTTCCGTTTAAGGGACATTCGTTCTTTATTCTGCAGTTGCACGTGGGTTTAATTTGTTCGTGTGGTTTGTTGATAATTTTCCTATTGTGCTTTTTTTTATTTGTGCCATGCTCTCGGTGCAGCTGTAGCTGATTTTTTACTGTGTTTTTGTTGAATATCTTGTGTAAGGTGCTTGATTCTGGGAAGTGTTTGTGTAAGAGTTTGAAGAATATTTTTCCTACGTTTGTTTTTACGTTCTTGCTGTACGGTGGGTTGAACCATATGATATTTCTTCTCCTGTTGGCCTTTTTTGTATTCTGTGGTGAGTATGTGAGTGTTGCTGGGAATCCACTATCTTTTAGGGCCGTTTCATAGTCTTTCTTAGCTTTGTTAAATAGGGATTCATTGGAGGAATTGTCGGAGAGCCTGCGGTTAATTGATTTTGGTATCTGTTTGATTATAGAAGGCGGATGGTTGGAAGATGTGTGTATGTAGAGTGGTTTATCATTAGGTTTTCTGTATGGTTTATATGTGCCTTCTCTTAGGTTGAAGGTAACATCTAGGAAATCTACTTCGTTTAGGTTAGTTTTTATATCTATGTCGAATCCGTTATTTTTAAAAATCTTTATTATTGCTTTTCTAGTTTTGTCTGTGTTTTGTTTGTTACAGTTTCTTAGGATTATGAGACCGTCGTCTCTGTAGAGTCCCGTGTCATTTTTGTCTATTATTTTGCTCAGTTCGTGTAGTAAGTAAATGCCTATGATTTCGCATGCCTCTGCACCGTCAAAGCTTCCCATTGTAGTGTCAAATATCCCATCTTTCTTTATCCATGCTTCTTCATTGTGGAATAATAATGATTTATGGGAGTGCTTAATGATGTTGATGTCGCTTGGTTTTATTATTATTTGTTCCTGAGCTAAGTTGATGGCCTTATCTAGCATACGTTCTGTTATGGATGGGTAAAATTCTTTTATGTCTAATTGTAGGAATTGGCAATTTTGTTCGTTATTTATGTTGTGGAACCAGTCAATAGTTGTTTTTGTATTTTTCCACTGGTTTACTCCTAATTTCTTCCTAAGTTCAGAATTAATTCTTTCTAGTATTGTTTTACTTATTTTACCTAGTTCGCTTTTGGCTGGGTTTATGAGTCTACATGCAGGATTAGTTTTGAAATTTTCTTTATGGTCTTTTAGTGTGATAAAGGCTCGTGCCTTGCTAATACAATTTATTCGGTCATCTAGGTCTAATTTTTGGGCGATTGTTTTAGCTTCCTTATTGATATCGTGTTCTGTTGTTTGGGGTGCCTTTTTGTATGTTTTGGTTATGTTGTTCTTGAGTAATTTATTGTGTGTAGGAGGGCTTAGTTTATATAAATTTCTCGTTTTGTCAGCAGCAATAGATACACTTGCTGAATTGTTTATTTTAGTTATATCTGCTTTTAGTTTTTTTTGGAATTTTATGTTTCTAACTAGGTCAGTTAAGTCTTTCTCGAAATCGTCTAATTCTTTTTGTTATGGGGGGGCATTTTTTTTTGTTTTGAAGCCGTATTTTTCCTTCTTAAGTGTGTTGTTATTGTGAAGGTCCTCGTTTAAAAAGTGGACTTTCCATCTCATTCTTTTTAGGAAACTTTCTATTTTTTTAATTAATTTTAGTTTATATATAGTAGGGGATGGGATGGGTATATATATATATATATTGTACAGTTCTTTGTGATTCTGTAATGCCAGTCCACGAGATTTGACTGTGTGGTCTTTGGTAAAGATCTTTATTTGTGATTCTGTAGCATCAGTCTGAGATTTAATGAAG